TAGCAGTGTATGGAGATTTCATATTTCTCTCGGTCTTAGCTAACATTGATACCATCTTTTTCCTTAGCTGTAGCTATCCTAGTGGGTGTCAAGTGATATCTTATAGTAGTTTTGATTTTTATTTCCTCAATGATTAATGATGGTAAGTATCTTTTCATTTGCTAAATTGGCCATTTGGATGTACAGTGGATCCTCGGGTTACAACCAGCCTGACATACGAACAACTTGGGTTACAACTGGAATTTTAGTTTTAACTTATGAACAGAGTCTTAAGTTACAACCTGAATGCCGGCCACTGGTGCTTCCAGATGGTCTCAGATACAGATTTAACCCTTAAAGAGTTGTGGAAGGAACAGTAAAACATCCTTTCCTGTGTGGGGTTAATTGAGAAATCCTACACGAATGTCTCTCTAAGGACACTGTGATATTCCTCTATACAGAAGAGAGACTTTGAAGGCTGTGTAGAGGAGCCTGAGCCTTCAACTGACCAACTTGAGTTACAACCAGCCCTCGTGAATGAATTGAGCTCATAAGTCAAGAGTCCACTATTATCTTCTTTGGAGCACTCTTTTTTGCCCATTTTTAGTTGAATAATCTGTCTTTTTATTATTGAATTGTGAATTGTTTGTATATTCTGGATACAGGTTCTTTATCAGATCTATGATTTGCAAATATTTTCTCCCATTCTCTCACTTTCTTGAAAGTGTACTTTGAAGCACTTTGGATCAGCTTTGATTTATTGATTTTTTTTTCCTCCCTTTATGGGTTATATTTTTCTATTTATTTGCATGCTTGAAATTTTTTTTATTGAATTCCAAACATTGAATTTTATCTTAAGAGCTGAGTAGTTTTTATATTAATGAAAATTTAATATTCATAAGAAGTACTTTGGAGTTTCATTCTGAGATATAGGTGAGTTTACTTGGAAACAGTTTGATTCTTTTGGGTCTTGGATTTAAATTTTCTTAGGTGGGATCAGAGTAGTGTTTTGTCTAGGTTTAATTTTCCCCCATTACTGAGTTAGGATTCTTTTCAGTAATCTACCTGGTGCCTTATGGATTTTCATTTTGGCTATTGGAAACAAGCACTATTCTTGGACCTTTTTGAGCTTTGGGCATATTTCTTCTATTTGTTAGGATGTTTTTCTCTGGTTTTAAGTGTTTTTATCCACATATGTGCACTGATAAATGAATATTTGATGGGACCCTTCTATTTCATGAATTCTCTTCTTGTGTACCTCTTTATTTCCAATACTCTGCTCTGCAAACTCTAGACTCTTTGGCTTCCCTATAGTCTTTCCTTTGTCTTCTCAGCTTAGGGAGACCATAGGCTCTGCCTAGGTTTCTGCAAAGGTGTGGCCTACAGTAGTGGGCAAGATGCAAGGGAGGTTTGCACAGTACTTTTTAAAGGGGCAGTGTACATGTGTGTGTGTGTGTGTGTGTGTGTTGCGATGGGGTGGTCTGGAAGGAAGGAATGGCTTGCTTTGTGTAAGCAAGGGCCAGTGTTCCTCCTTGACCTGTTTCTGGGATAGCCTGAGTGATCCCCCTGAAGTATGTTATATAAGATTTTGATAGGACTCAGTCATGGTTTAAGACGGCCACTTGACCCAAGATGGCTGTATTTTGTCCCATTCTGGGCACCACAGTTTGCATTGTATAGGCCGTGAACTTTTTCCATTGGGTGAGTTGGACACAGTCATAGGGTTCACCTTATTTCTCTTTATCTCAAGGGTCCTTGTCCTTCATTGCCAGATATCCAGTGTCCTGAAAGTTGACACTTCTTATGTTTTTTCTTTTCTGATAGAAAAGTAAATACACTTTTTACATTTTGGCCAGAAGCAAAACTCCCTTTGACTATTTTTCAGAATCTCGTGTTATAATGATTTATAGCCAAGCCACAGGGTGGAGCATATTCAGATGTCCCATGTTAAAATTGCTATGTTGAAATTTCATGTATTCTTTAGCAAAATGCTTTGCAGTTTTAATAGAGCCTTTTAAAATAAAGCCTGTGAAGAATAAACTTTCTCTTGTTTTTGCTGTATTGGAAAGAATACTCCAAGGTAGAATGGGATATGATGTGAAATTAGAAAAAGTGAAGTAGATTGATTACATTTAATCTGACAGTTAACAGATACCTGAGAACTCTACCATAGGCCCAAAGTAAACTTACAGATAACTTTAAGGGCTTAGGATAAAGTTTTCTTAAAGTGTGAGTCTAGATGGGGTTTGATGGAGGTGTGAGTCCTTGAGAACTCAGGTTATTTATAATTTTAGCATCTGTTTATTTGCTCACATATCTGTGACCTTTCTTTGTTGAAGGGTTCCAAGACAACTGTCAAACTCAGTGACTCACTAGAAGTAGTCACTGTACTCAAGAGCTTTATACCTACTGCAGTGAAAGGGTGCAGATTAGAATCAGTAAGGGAAAAAGGTGCATGGGGTGAAATCTAGAGGAAATCAAGCACAAGCTTATAGGTGTCCTCTTTCAGTGGAGTCACTTGAGAACACTCTTAATTCTCTAAGCAATGATTTGTGATGATGTGTGTGAAGTTTTATTAACCAAGGATGTTCACTTGAGCCTTAATGGCCAAGTTTTATTGGAGGTTGATCCCTTAGGTGTACTGCAGTACTAGCATGGCTGACCTTAGCCACTCATATTTGAGCTCTCCCCAGAGCAAAAACAAATATTCACCATGAATCACCTTGTCAGTATAAACCTTACCTGGTCAAATTGGTACGATTTGGACCAAGGCGATAAGCATACAAAAACACTTTTTATCAGGAACAGTATTCCAAAGTCCTTATCTCCCATAAGACTGCTAAGTGCCAGTTCTAATGGCAGGCCTTTCTTTGAAATGTGTAAGTTTTGAGTTATCCAAGCCTTCTGAGTAAAATCTTTCGTAAACATTGTGTTGTAGTTATTAAGCTTTATATTTTATTTTGGAGCTCATTAATTTATTCCTAATGTTCTTTATCTGTTCCAGAATCTCATTTAGGCTCTCATGTTACATTCAGTCATCATGTCTTTTCAGCTTTTTCTGGACTGTGACAGTGTTGGATCTTTTTCTTGTCTTTAATAGTCTTGACAGTTTTAAGGTATATTTCATAGAGTGCCTCTCAGTTTGAGTTTGGGTAATGTTTTTCATTTAGTTACTCTGGGATTGTGGTGATTTGGGAAGAAAACCATAGAGCTGGAGTGCCATTCTCATCATAACCTAGCAAAGGTATGTTATTAATTTTAAACCTTCATCAATCTAATTTAAAAGTCCCCAACCTCTCAGGAGTAATTAACTAGATGGTAGGCTGATGTGTTGCTTATTACATGCAGAAATTGTTCTCAGGGGCTTTTCTTATCCATGTTTTATATGCAATTTTTGAGTGCATGAGTTCATAACTTTGTGGAGACAGTGGGAAAGGATGCCAGAAGGAGAACAGTAATTGATAAAATCACAGAATAGAGAAGCTGTCATGGTCTGTTTTACGAGATTAGAATCTGGAATAAAACTCATTCTGATCCACAGGACTGACTCTGTCATTATTCTCATGTATCTTTTTCTTACCAAGATAAACTGAAAGTTAGTAATAGGGACTCCAAATTATACAGCTTCATCAATTCTCTTTAGTCACCTAACTCCTATTGTTCATGTCTCTGCTTAAATACCAGATCTTCTAGGAAGCTAAATTTGTGTCTCTAGGATTTTCTAGGGCTGTGTTCTTAACACAGCGTCATGTCCAATTTTTTGTTCTGTACTTAAATAATTATTAATATATTTGTTTAATGTCTGTTTTTCCTTCCAAACTAAAAGATTCATGATATAGAAGCCAATGGTATTTTTATTAGAGTCCAGCCAGGTACTAAAAACGTAACAACTGTGTGGTTGAAATGAATGTATCTTGGTGAATGAATAATCAATAAGTCAAGTAAATAGTCATACAAATGGATGGATATTAGATACTGAAACTTTTGCTAATTTTACCTATATGAGTGACTCACATGTTGAACATAAATGTACACTAGTTACCTATAGGCCATACTTACTAGAAGTTATAAAAGATGACATAGACAGCTTTTACCTAGGATGGTCCGTTTATGCTCAGCAAATTAACCACTTAAGCTTACTCACTTCTCTGAAACTTGTGTGCCTTATCTCATTGAACTCAATCTATACCTGAAGTATTCAAGCATCTAATTTTTCTACACATCTTTTTCTGTAATTCTCTTGTGACATATTTCAGACCTTGTTCCCTAGTTGGTTCTGGCCCTCTTAAAATACCAGTTCTTTCTCCAACATCTTTGTTCTTTGGCCAGCATTGGTTGGTTATTCTCCTTTCTGGTGCTCTAATCTGAGGACACAGATGGCAGAATCTGAGCTGCTTTTGAAATTTGCTTATATGAGTTTGCTCAGCTTCCTAGCAGAGAGGGACCTTCTCTCCTTACCTCTTATTTAACAAAAAATTAGAGCATTTTTTTTAGCTCATTCAGGCAGAGAAGTGTTTGGCTTTCCATATATGCAAACATTTTTATTATCATTGAATCATTGAAAGGAGATCAGAAAAAATGGTTTGAGTGTATGATCCAACTCTTTGGGAAGTTCTGGGCTTGAAAATTCAAGGTATATGTGTAGCTCTTACACACTTTTACATGCTAGCAACATTTTTTACTAATTTTGACCACACTTGTTTATACCTTTTTCCTGTTTTTCCTGCCTCATTTACTACCACTGGTTCCTCTGCCATTTTAATCCCTTTTGTTGCTTTAATTTTAAGGTATTACAAGAGCAGTATGTGTCTTCCCATTAAATAATTCATTAACCAACATTGAACTTATGTAATATAGAAGGCATCATGTTAGAATGTTCCTGGCAATACTGACATATACAACTGAGGAGCCCTTTCATATTATTTGCCCATATCTCAAATTTTCAAAGAAAAATAATTAGAACCAAACTTACTTAAAAAATTTTATTAATAAAAACTTTATTTGAAGCCTCTTATAATGAATTTCCTTTTTTTAAAAAATAAAACACTTTTGGGGCATTTGGTTATGTGTTACTCTGTGTAGTTGGCTTAAACTTTAAGAAACTTGTGAAAGGTATTAGAACCAGTCAGAGGATCCTGTCTCTTCTCTCTGTTCTTACATTTTTCATTTTTTTGTTGTCCATATTTCTTCATCTTTTCTCAGTTCTGCCATGCAATAAAAAGAAATACAGGAATTAGTAAGCAGTTTCCTTAAATATTGAAAGCATTTTCTAGATCATAGTAAAGTTATTCAAGGAATTTGATAAATCAGAACAAACAAAATATTTTGAGATCTGAAAAATTTTGTAGGTGAAACTATACCATTTTCATGACCTGACTCTTTATTCTTTTTTTTTTTTACTATTGCTTTTTTTGCCCTAAAATTTCCATATTTTTATGAGATTTTCTTCTTAGGCACATTCATCTGATAAAAGATAGTTCTTAAAAGTTCATTTTGGAAGTGGTTAGCTGTTCTTAAGTTGAATTAAGGCATGAAGTTTTATGATGTAAAGGGGGATTATTTGGATTATAATTTATTTCAGGAGTATTCCTTATCCAGAATGTTTGGGAACAGAAGTATTTCAGATTATGGATTTTTTCAGATTTTGAATATTTGCATACACATATTGAAATATCTTGGGAATGCGATCCAAGGAAATTAATTTATGTTTTATATACATAGCCTGAAGTATGCATGCATACTGCACTCCATTACATAAAGTCAGGTATGGAATTTTCCACTTGTCAGTGTTCAAAATGTTTTCAATTTTGTAGCTATGGTACCAGGGATGCTTACCCTGCACCATGTTTGTAAGATTTGACTTCATATATAGCCAGCTTTGAGCACAGCTCATAGTAAACTTATTAAAGTGGGATTGTAATGATATTTTTAGAAATTGAGGTTCAGGTAGATACCTGTTTTGTTTTGTTTGTTTTTCTTTCTTTCTTTCTCTTTTTTGGAGCCTTACAAGTGCTAGCTTGAGCATGCTATTAGTGAGATACATCCTAAACCAGAATACTTGTATTTTAAAAACTTGAGTATTTTCCTTGTTTACATCAATGTCTTCACATATTAATTGTGAGTTAGAGGAGCATCTGGCTTCCAAAGCTATAACCATATGTTCCAGTGAGGTTCTTAATGTCATTTACTGAAGGACAACAAATCATCCAGAGTTAGATGCAAGTAGTGAGGAATGTTGGTATATGTTTCTTACACTCTTTCTCATTTACCTTTTGGCTTTCTGTCTTTGCATCTGTGAAATTCTTAGGTGTTTTCAACTTAAGCATATGCAAAATGGAAGAAAGTGGAAAGAGGAGAAGAGCTGAGAGACAAAAGAGAAGGAAAAAGCCATCTGGTGGTACTCAGTCTCCTACTTTCCCTGTGTAGGATGCAACTCCTTTTTTCTTCCCTTTACAATCTACTTGCTTTTGTTTTGTTTTCAGGGTCTTTGTATTGTTTGTTTTTTTTTTAACAGTGAGAACGAGAGCCTGTGAGTGACTTATGACACTATCATTGAATTTGAATTGAAGTTCTTATTTTAAAAAGTCTTGGTAGGTTGTATCTTTATAGTATAAGAGAAAATTTTTTTGTCTTTTCATTATGTAAAACTAATGGCTTTCACTTATTTACAGTTGGATTTCAGAACTTGTTTTTAACACTGCTTTCTAATTCTTGCTTTATCTCCATTAAAGAATCTGGAAGTTTATTGATTTTTTTCCCTTTGAACCTTGGAGACTGTTTTCTTTTAATTTTTTCTTACACTTTTTAAAAACAAAATATGTATATTTTAAACATTTTAATTGTTCAAAGTTAGTGTATGCCTCACCAGAGAATTTGGAACACATGCTAACCCACTTGTTACTGTCTGGCTTCTTGTCCTTATGCTGGTACTTGCTGACATCAGATAACAAAATGAAAAGCTTTTCATTACAGTATTATCTGTGAAATAACACTTTTAAAAGAACTTTTGTCTCCAGCAGTGTAAAACTTGGCACCTAACAAACAAGAGCATCTTAACTCACAGATGTGTTAAAACGTTTTCAGTTTCTCTGGAACTCCTGGATGTATAGTTTGAAGAGTTTTGTTTTTTGGTTTTGGTTTGGTGTTTTTAATTTATGTGTTTTGAGATGGTTATCTACGAAGTATTGTTAAGATGTGGGAGAAAAAAAAAAAGATGTGGGGGGAATTTTCCTTGGGAAATTTTATCCCACTACTCTGCTTGTTTGACAGCTATTTCTTCACGTCTAGCTTTACTATTAAGTTAAAAAGTTATAAAGCCATATGTGAACAGCTGTTTATTGTTTTCACAAGGGCAGGGCAAAATAAAGGATCTCACTTATCAAGAATGGCTCAGATAAGATTATAAGGATAATTTTCTGGCAGTTATATTTTATAACTTTAAAAACACTTCTAGAACATAGAAATTATTTTTGTTTTGAAGGTATTTCTTAGTCGAGAAAAGGAACAAAATCTTAAAAAACTTTTATTCCAAAAACAAAAAGATCATACATTTTGCAGGATTTACAAAAATATGCTTAAAAGTAATTTTGTTAAAAAAGAAGTACGAAGTTTGTAACATACATAGATGAGATCTTGGATCACAGTCTCAAACAGATCAAACCTAATTTTCAAAGCTATCTAGAAGATAGACTTAACAGTATGTTCATTTAAGCAGTATTTATAAAAGGCAAACAGGAATATGTTTTTCTTAAGTATTTTTACAATATATAGCTCACATTTTATGTAGTCCTCATTTACCTATTGGTAATAGGGGTTTTTTTTAGGGGGAAATTTGATTCTTAAATGGGTCTTAAATGATTCCTTTTTGTACTTTTGCTGATGATATGTTTTATTTTCTTTGTTCACTGTGCTGGTAAAACTTACATTTAAAAAATGTTTTGTTTTGCAGGTGTCCTGGTCAGATATAGGAGGACTAGAGAATATCAAACTGAAATTGAAACAGGCTGTGGAATGGCCCTTGAAACATCCAGAGTCTTTCATCCGAATGGGTATTCAGCCACCTAAAGGAGTTCTTCTATATGGGCCACCTGGATGCTCTAAAACAATGATAGCAAAGGCCTTGGCCAATGAGAGTGGACTGAATTTTCTATCTATAAAGGTAGAGTGTTAACTTTTTCAATGGCTACCCTGGAACTACTACTCTTAGGAAAGCATGTAAATGCCATCTCTAAAGGAGCAGTTGATTTCCTTCCTCCCTTCCTTCTTTCCTTCCTTCTTTCCTTCCTTCCTTCCTTCCTTCCTTCCTTCCTTCCTTCCTTCCTTCCTTCCTTTCATGGTACTAGGGATTGAACCCAAGGGGTGCTGAGCTATATTCTCATTTAAGGCTCCCCATTTAAAATTTTTATATTTTTTTGAGACAGGGTCCCTAGGTTGTCCAGGCTGGCCTCAGACTTGTGATCTTATGGCCTCAGCCATAGTGATGGAACTGAAATTTGGCTCCTAACTACTACATTATATTCTCTTGCATTTTCCTTTTATTAATTTTTTATATTTAAAAGAAAACCTAATATCCAGTGCTGTTTTTCATTAATTGTACAAACTTACTGGGTGGTAATTTAGTGGAAAGATTCTTCTAGGAACCCGTTTGAAAGATAATTTTGTTTTTCTAAGACAAACAGAACAATAGCATGGTTTTGGTAGAAATTGAGTTCATAAGAAAGAGTAATAATCACTGCCAAAGAAGCAGGCAACTACTGGGTGAAGTACAAGACTCATTGAATAATGTGGTATTGGAAATGTCCCTATCAGTGTATAATTTGTGCTTCTGAAATAGTCACAATAAAAAGAGCCCTGAGCTAAAATTCAGATAACTTTGTTTTGCTTCCTAAATCTAGCACTTTTCATCATAAAACAAGTTCTATACTTCTATTATTTTATATGTAGTAGGATATAAAATGACCAGTACTCCTCAAACTGTGAAGATTATCAAAACAAAGGAGAGTCTGAGAAATTTTTGCAGCCAAGTGGAACCCAAGGAGACATGGTAACTAAATATAATGTTGAGGTATCTTAGATAGGATTCTGGAGGAAGAACCAAAAAAGACATTAGGTGAAACAGAAGAAATCTGAATAAACCATGGTCTTTAGTTAAAAATAATGTATCAGTCTTGGTCCAGTCATTATAACAATGTACTTTACTCATGGTAATAATAAGGGAAATTGAGTGTGTAGAGGTGGGTAGGGGTTGGAATGTTGTAGCTGTTTGTTGTAGCTGCTCAATTCTTCTATAAATCTTGTAAAGCCTTAATTAAATAAAAGTTTGAGGTCAGTATCATAGATCCAGGTGTACGTAAACATTCAGTGAAATAAGTTAAAAGAAAGGCCAACTCAAGAGTTCTGACCTGCAGTAAACAGCGTGAGTGGATTGCAAGGAAGAAGAATCATGGGAAAATTGTGGATTTAGTGCTTTAGAGGAAGGAGAGCTTTCCTTTTCATTTCTCTGTCCATAATGATAGTGGAGAGATACTGAGATATGCCTTGAGAAGAACTTAGGCGTAAGTTTAGGGGTTCCCTGAGTGTGTCTGTAGTTCTCAGTTGAAGCCTTTATTGGTGTGTGTTAGTTCAAGCCCCAAACCCAGACCCCAAAATTATAAACTCTTTCCTTTAGTGTTTTGGCTACTTTTTCTTTCACTTTGGGTGAAGCTTCTAATTTGGAATCTTGCCAGGAATTATGTCCAGTTTCAGGACTTTTGTGAATCCTAACTATATTTTCTTTCTGTAGATTTATTACTACTTGGGCTCATCTAGAGTCTGGAACCTTTTGAATTTCTCTTTAATTTCCTTTAGGTTTTTGTTTTAACTTTGAAAATTCTCTCAGCTTCTCCAACTGATGTTGTCTTGCGTGTTTCATGTATTTAGATTGCCAGTTATTAGCATCAGTGATAAATAAAAATACATTCTTAGTTTTACCACTGTTTGAATGGCTATTAGAAATAACTAATAGTGTCTCATGATTTTTGGTACAAATGAAATAGTTAATGAGCCCTGGTCAGTTTCACAAAGTTATTTTTTAGAAGTTAGATTAGATTTACTTAAATTTGGCATTACTTGTATAGTATATATGCTAGCATGTTTGAAGATGGTGCAGCATAAGTTTAGACTGTGTGTGATAATAAATGATTCTTTTTTTTTACATGGGCTTTTATCAATAGATAAAGCTAATATATAAAAAGAGTTGATATGAAAATATTCCATACATTTAGCTAAAAGCAAAAAGCAGTGATAACTGTAATAACAAAACCCTTGACATTTGGAATCTAAGAAGACTTAGAGAACAATGCTTTTAGACTAATAGGAAATCCAAGACAAGGAAATTGTATTGTTTTATTTTTTTTATTTATAAATAAATTAGTTGATGAGAAATTGGCAATTTTTAATCTTAATTTCTTTTTGAATGAAAATTACAGTTCCAATAAATATTACAATTTCATGTCTATGACATTTTAAAACTATAAATGTCTTATCACTAGAACAAGTCAAAAATATATATTAAACTCCTTTTTTGTGCCAAACTCTGTACATGGCAAACAAACATACAGTATACTAAAAGTGATGGGATACATGGCTAAATAATTAATGTAATGAAATTGGTAACATTTAGAATCTTCATGTGTTTGTTTGTTTTCTTTGTCCTTGTAGTACTCCAGATTGAACCCAGGGTGTGTACACAGAGCTTCATTCCCAGCTGCTACCTCCCTTTTTTCCTTTGAGACAGGATCTTGCTAAATTCCTAGGCTGGGCATGTGTGAGCCACCATACCTGGCTTTAGAATTTGCAGTTCTTGATTTTTTATTGTATGCAAGAAGGGAAAGAAATGGAGAAGTGTTCGAGGTGATTAAAATTTTTCTTTCAGTGATTGGCAGATGGAAATACCCTAATTCTGGGGAGAGAAGAGAGGCAGATTAGGGGTGAAGGAAAAGATGCAGAATTGGGATTTAGATATTGAGTTTGTGGAACAACGTGGTAGATATGGTTAAAAGGCAGTTGCATTTATAGGTCTGTAAGTCAAAAGAGTGCCATCTCTAGAGATGAAAGGATGGAAATTGAGAACGAGTGGTTGAGATTCTTCAGAGAGGTTAGTAAAAGAGATTGAGAGCAATGATAGTGGTCCATAATAACAGAAAGGGTTTTCATGAGTATGTATATATGTATACTTATACACTTTGCAGCTTGCTTGCTTAATTATAGCTTCCTGCAGTGGAAGTTCGGCAGTGTGTCATTTGTTTTTAAAAGAAAATTGTGAGGAAGTTTGTATTATACTTTTTTGAGAGAAACAGCTTAATTCTATACTCTTCCTTGCCAGCCTTTCTCGTTTGTTAAGGCTTTTACTTGCTGTGGCATTTCTTGAGTTGTACTTGAGCCCTATTTTCAAACTCCTTTAAGTATTTTGCCAGAATGTCTCTTCTGTATGAACTGGTGCTGTATTTTTTATTAATTTTCAAGATCTTTTGCTCACATTACATTTATGTAATTATATCTCATATGACTAGATTTTTATGAGCATATTCTATAACATTTAACCACAGTTAACACTTAGGTTAACTTGCCTTCTCCAGACATTTTAGAACTTATAAAAACTTCATTTGAATTGTAATAGCCCAAATTATCAGGCTGGTGTCAGACACATTTAAAAAATCCTTGGGGAAATGGGGGGAAAAGCCAGTAATGATTACAGAGGGAAAATTTGAAGAGCCTAAAGTGTAAATATTATATACTTGAATTTGTGACTGATAAGGGTGTAAAGCTCAGTAGATTAATCGAACAGCTGGGCAAACATTTTCACTGTGTTTATGATGTTTTGTTTTATAACTTGAACCCTGGAAATCTTGGCCATAAATAAGCCAATTTATGGTACTTAATTCTGGAAGTTTTTCTTGCTCACTCTTATCAGCGAAGCAGCCTGTTTAGGAGGCAACATATGGCAAGGACTAACATACTGTAGCTATTTGGTAAGCAAAGTTGGAAAATAAATACCTTATATAGTCCTGTCAACTTTACCTAATATTGGGATTCGAACTTACAAGTCTTGTGGGATTGTTAGACCATGTTATACTTTATCTAAACCATATAGTCAGCTATAAATGGGCCCTTTGTTTATGAGTATTAATAAAGTTCTTCTTATTTATTTATTTATTTTTGGTACTGGGGATCGAACTCAGGTCCTTGCGCTTGCACAGCAGGTGGCGAAACCACTGAGCTAATTCCCCGGCCAATAAAGTTCTTATTTTTAAAGTAACCCATGCAAGTATCTACTTAGAATGACATCTTTGCCACTTGATCTGGTCACCATTAGTACCTTTGACTTAAATTACTCTCCCCTCCCCTCTCTCACCACCTTTCCTCCTGTCTTCTATTTCCTTTCTTTTCTTTTGTACTTGGAATTGAACCCAGGGATGCTCTACCTCTGAACTACATTCCCATCCCTTTTTATTTTATTTTTTGATGCAGGATTTCAACAAATTCCACAGGTGGGCCTTGAACTTGCTGTCTTTCTGCCTTTGGCTCCAGAGTAGCTAAGGACTGCAAGTATGGGCCACTATGGCCATTTGTGTCATGTAATCTTAAGGGGACATTTCCTTCTTATTTTAAGAACTTGGAGAAAACAGTACAGCATAATTTTTAGAAATAGTACTGATTTAGAAACCAAAATCTTGCATTCTTATCATTTCTGCTATTTAACTTGTTCTAGGACTTAAAATTACTTTTGCTGCCCTTGTTCACTTTAAGTGAGGTTAAGTTACACTAAATTATTTGTATAGCTCCTCAACTAACCACATTCTGTGAGTGCCTCACAAACCTTACATTTAAAAATTTTTCTATCTTTTGTGCCTGATGGGCAGTTCATCTGTCAGTGTAACAGTTAAGCAACTGGGACCTCAGTTCTCCCATTATTAAGCTGTGTGACATTGGACAAATAGCTTCCTCTCCTTGTATTTCATTTTTTTTTAAATAAAGGAATGGTAAGAATATATAATTCAAAGTACTGTTGCAAGCAATAAGAGGGAATGTATTCCCTTTTTTTGTTGTTATTCTAGCAAAATTCCCAAAGCAGGCTAACTTGTAAAGATAAGAGGCTTATTTAGCTTACAGTTTTGAAGG